GTGTAGGGTCTCCTGCTTGGGCAGGGGGTTGGACTAGATGACCTACAAGATCCCTTCCAACTCTGTTAATCTAATCTAAATGTCCTTTGGTGGATATGAATGACTATAGTGTTGTCTTCTGGATTCTTAACTGATATTTGGTCTCATCCCGAGTTGCTCCTGATTCTCAGTGAATCCTTTTTGTTTTCTGCATTCCATGCCACCCAAGATAGCAGGAAAGAGACTTATTCTCCATTGGTCTCCAAGCTGTTTAGTGAATTTAATTAATCAGTGGAACAACTTGCCTGCAGAAGTTGTGAATGCTCCAACACTGGAAGTTTTTAAGAAGAGATTGGACAACCATTTGTCTGAAGTGGTGTAGGGTTTCCTGCCTAAGCAAGGGGTTGGACTAGAAGACCTCCAAGGCCCCTCCCAAGTCTTGTTATTCCATTCTATTCTAGATTGATGCAAAAGAGAGAAGAGAGGTTCAGTCCTTAAATCATGGGAACAGAAGTCCCAAAGAATGCAGTTGCTGAGAATCTAGGACAGAGTTGAATCACTTTCTCTCCTCCCATTATTAAAATTACTCTCTGTAGAAAGTGTTTCTAGGGAAGATTATCTGCTCACACCTGTTTCCTTATTTATTTATTATTATTTTATTGGTTCGATTTATATGCCGCCCTTTTCTGGAGACTCAGGGTGGCTTACAATGCATTAAGCAATAGCCTTCATACTTTTGTATATACCTGCTCAGTAGGGCTTTCGCCCCCCCCCCAAGCGGTGTTCTTTTTTTATACAAAGTCAGTTTATTGCCCCCACAAACCGGGTCCTCATTTTACCTACCTCGAAAGGGTGAAAGGCTGAGTCAACCTTGAGCCTGGTGAGATTTGAACTTGCAGTAATTGCAGGCAGCTGGTGTTACTTAACAGTGCTTTAGTCTGCTGCGCCACCAAGGCTCTTATTCCTTTTCCAAATACCTTTTCGACATCTTTCTGCAGTTTTGGGGTCATGTGCTGAACCTTTGACTTTGATCTTGTATGTGGACAATATTATACAGGCAGTCCTTGGCTTACAACAGTTCCTTTAGTGACGGCACTGAAAAAGTGACTTATGTCTGTTTCCCACAGTTACGACCTCGGCAACCATCCCATGATCGTGTGATCAAAATTCAGACGCTTCGCAATTGGTTCATATTTACGACGGCCGTGTCCCAAGGTCACGTGATCCCCTTTTTGCAACCTTCTGACAAGCAAAGTCAATGGGAGAACCCAGATTCACTTAACAACCGTGTTACTAACCTATCCACTGCAGTGATTCACTTAACAACGGTGGCAAGACAAAATGCGGCAAAAACTCGCTTAACAAATGTCTCGCTTAAAAAGAGAAATCTTGGGCTCAATTGTTGTCATAAGTCAAGGACTGCCTGTACTCTTTCGAAGGGCCAAATCTGATTTAAAGATAAAAAATGTCAGGAAGAGCAAGAGTTCCTTAATTTTTTTTATTTATTTTTTTTATTTGATTTATATGCCGCCCTTCTCCGGAGACTCAGGGCGGCTTACAATGCGTTAAGCAATAGTCTTCATACTTTTGTATATTTTATACAAAGTCAGTTTATTGCCCCCACAAACCGGGTCCTCATTTTACCTACCTTAGAAAGGATGGAAGGCTGAGTCAACCTTGAGCCTGGTGAGATTCGAACCAGCAGAAATTGCAGGCAGCTGATGTTAATAACAGTGCTTTAGTCTGCTGCGCCACCAGGGCTCATCCATAACATATAACGTCTGAATTATGGAGTTTGTCATCTGCACCTCTATAACTGTCTGGTTTGGCTCTGCAACCCAACAAGACAGACACAGACTTCAGAGGATAATTAGAACTGCAGAAAAAAAAAGGGCTACCAACCTGCCTTCCATTGAGGACCTGTATACTGCACGAGTCAAAAAGAGGGCTGTGAAAATATTTACAGACCCCCTCGCATCCTGGACATAAACTGTTTCAACTCCTTCCCTCAAAACGCCGCTATAGAGCACTGCACACCAGAACAACTAGACAGAAGGACAGTTTTTTCCTGAACACCATCACTCTGCTAAACAAATAATTCCCTCAACACTGTCAAACTATTCACTAAGTCTGCACTACTATTAATCTTCTCATTGTTCCCACCACCCATCTCCTCCCACTTATGACTGTATGACTGTAACTTTGTTGCTGGTATCCTTACGATTTATATTGATTGTTCCCTAATATGATTTGATTGCTTATTTGTACCCTATGACTATCACTAAGTGTTCTATCTTATGATTCTTGACAAATGTATCTTTTCTTTTTATGTACACTGAGAGCATATGCCCCAATGACAAATTCCTTGTGTGTCCAACCACACTTGGCCAATAAATAAAAACACTGTCAAACTAGGTACTAAATCTGCATTACCATTAATCTTCTCATCGTTTCTGTCACTCATCTCCTCCCACTTATGCATGACTGTAACTTTGTTGCTTGTATCCTTATGATTTATATTGATATTGTTTCCTGATTGCTTATTTGTTCCCTATGACTATGATTAAGTGTTGTAAGTTATGATTCTTGATGAACGTATCTTTTCTTTTATATACACTGAGAGTGTATGCACCAAAGATAAATTCCTTGTGTGTCCAATCACACTTGGCCAATAAAGAATTCTATTCTATTCTATTCTATTCTATTCTATTCTATTCTATTCTATCTGTTCTGTTCTGTTCATTCTATTCTATTCTATTCTATTCTTCTATTCTATTCTATTCTATTCTATTCTATTCTATTCTATTCTATTAATAGTTAATCACCAAACTATTGTCTAAGGTTTGTGCTATGAAGTTGGATGTTTCTAAATTAGTATTTCTATCAGGACATTCAAATATCTCCTGCCTTCTTCTATTGGTTTAAAGCTATCCTTGCTTAGCTCAAGGTGATAAATTCCAGATGACTAATTTTTTTTTTTCTGAAGAAAAAACTTCCCTCCAGGTGCCTTTCTTGCAACATTGGTCTAAAATCCATTGTAGGGAGGAAATACCTGGATCTGATTTTCATTTAGAAGGCAGACTGTGGGCAAATCTTAACTTGACTGAGCGTGCTCTTTGCCAATATCCTAGTTAAGCTGAGGTCAGGATCAGAAATATAAAGCAAAATATAACCCAGCGGGTGAAATTAACATTCTGATCTGCACCATGACATTTTAAGATTATTACATCTTAAAAGTCTTCCCTTTTTTAATGTTCTCCTCATCGCCACCCCCCACCAAAATTGTTTTCCCTCTTCCCTCTGCGGCACTGTTTCCTTGTGTGCCATGCTTTCTGGATCACAGACCTCGCTGACAAGTTTATTTTAATGCTGGTATTTGTAAGCCACTAAGTGGGCCTTTCTGGTGCATTTTTATTCTGTAGTAAAAATATCTCAAATAGCAACCCTGTACTTGAAAGAGAAAATATACGTGAGCAGGAATGTTTGCATTTTATGTAGATCAGGGGTGTCAAACTTAAGGCTCAGGGACCGGATCCGGCACACAGGGTGCTTAGATCTGGCCCGCAGGGCGCCCTGGAAACAATGAAGGACCGGCTTGCGGTGCTTCTGCCAGCGAAAATGGCACTCCCAAGGTCCATTTTCTCTGGCAGAGGGTTGCAGGAGACTGTCGCAGCTGAAAATGGACCTCTGTCAGGTTTCGAGGTCGTCTCAAATAAATTGCATTTCAAACAAAGTCTTTGAAGGAAAACTCCTATTTATTAAGCACAACATTCTAAAATCCGACTTCCAGACTGACTTCCAGACCCCAAACCCTCCCTTTCCGTTCCCCACTCCCCTGCACTCATTGGCCATCTTCCAAGTCATTCTACCCCTAATCTACTGCTCCAGCTCAAAGGAATTTCCCCCCTCCCAACCCATCTCCTAGGGCCGTGATGGCGAACCTATGGCACCGGTGCCACAGGTGGCACGCGGAGCCATATCTGTGGGCACGTGAGCATTGCCCTAGGTCAGCTCCAGCGCGCACTGGAGCCACTTAATTTTTGCAGGGACTTTTCTTCAGGGGTGAAATCCAGCAGGTTCTAACAGGTTCTGAAGAACCGGTAGCGGAAATTTTGAGTAGTTTGGAGAACTGGCAAATACCACCTCTGGCTGGCCCCAGAGTGAGGTGGGAATGGAGATTTTGCAATATCCTTCTCCCAGGATTGGGGTGGGAATGGAGATTTTGCAATATCCTTCTCTCAGGAATTGGGTGGGAATGGAGATTTTTGCAGTATCCTTCCCCCATGCGTGCGCCGGCCAGCTGATTTTCAGGCCTTCTGGGCCCACCAGAAGTCGGGAAACAGGCCGTTTCCAGTCTCCGGAGGGCCTCCGGGTGGGGGGGAGGCAGTTTTCGCCCTCCCCAGACTCCAAGAAAGCCTCTGGAGCCTGGGGAGGGCAAAAAACAGGACCCACCTACTGGACCCACCAGACCATCGCATGCCAAAAGCAGGGGTTGCACGGAGGGGGGGGGGTCATGTGTGCATGCACAGGGGGCAGGCCGCATTGGATTATGGATGTAGGCACGCACACGCGCAACCCCCCCTGTGCTCCTCCCGCTTTTGGCACGCGACAGCAAAAATGTTAGCCATCACTGTCCTAGGGGATATTATCTCCACGGAAAATAAGTAAGTGAAAAGTCAAATGTCCCTTTCCAGACGCCTCCACTTCTCCTTCTTATGTCAGCACTAGAGTAAATGCAGCTTGAAGTGCTGACAACCTCGGGACTTCATTTTCTCTGGCAAAGCGCTTGGGGCATCACCGGCACACCCAACACGAGTGACGTCGAGCTGGCCACACCCATCCTGGCCACGCCCACTCCGGCCCCACCAGGTCAAACACAACCCTGATGTGGCCCTCAATGAAATAGAGTTTAACACCCCTGATCAGTGGTGGGATTCAAATAATTTAACAACCGGTTCTCTTCCAACAACCAGATCACCAAACTGCTCAGAAGTTAACAACCGGTTCTCCCGAAGTGATGCGAACAGGCTGAATCCCGCCACGGCCCCTGATGTAGATGATTTATTTTCCCTCCCAATTGTTCTGCGAAGACTTGGCTGACAAACAAGCAGCAGAAACTGCACACAATGTGGCACGACAAAATAAGTTTTTACAGGTAGAGTACAACCAGTCCCAAATGTCAATTTTTTTCATAAGAAACTTGGCAGGGTTGTTTCTTTGTCTTTCAGTAAAAAGAGAAGTAGACGTAACTTCTCTCACAACTTCAACCTCTTTCCGGAGACACGGGCCAAACTGAAATTTGCTTTCTAATGGGAAGAAAAGTAGTCAAACTTCTGTTAGAAAGCAAAATTTCAATTAGAACAGCAGTGTCTTTGGAAGGAGGTTGAAGGAGTTGTGATGGCTGTGCCCTAGGTGTCCTTAGTGTAATGTGTTGACTTTGATTTGAGGGATTTCTGGGCCATTTCTTCTCTGATGTCCAAGTCTGTAGGAGAAGAGCAAACAGAGCTAAGGGTGGAGTTAAGTGTGATAGCAGTTTGGAGTCATTATGTTGTCACAAAGTCTTAAGTCCAATTCAGTGCTGTAGTTGACTACATTTTTGTGTGTAGGCTTGAGTGATAAATCTGTTTTGAATTGCAACTTGACATATGGTCCTGATCCCTTGCACCTTACACCCGAGTAGTTATATTCGCCTCCCAAGTAGGATGATGTGAGGATACAAATACGATAAGATACAAGTTGGAGACAATGTGAGTTTCTGAAGAAAAAGCGAGATATAACTCTTAACAAACGATAAAAATAAATGAAGTTATTACTAAAAGTATGTTGTAGTTCAGAAATACTGTCCAATTTTACTTGTTTTACTTAAAAGCTAGCTCAGGGGTCAGCAACCTTAAACACTCAAAGAGCCACAAAGCCTAACCAGAAGCCCCCCATTCAATTCTGGAGCCGACCAGAAGTCCAGTTCCCCCACCATAGAGTCTCTTCCTAGCATGGTGTCCTTTTTCCTCTGCTGACTGGAAACCAGTTCCCCCACCATAGAGTCTCCTAACATGGTGTCCTTTTTCCTCTGTTGACCAGAAGTCCGGTTCCCCCACCATAGAGTCTCCTAGCACGGCGTCCTTTTTCCTCTGCCGACTGGAAGTTGGTTCCCCCACCATAGAGTCTCCTCCTAGCATGGCGTCCTTTTTCCTCTGTTGACCAGAAGTCCGGTTCCCCCACCATAGAGTCTCCTCCTAGCACAGCATCCTTTTTCCTCTACCTATCCTAACCAAAAGCCCTACCAATTGTAGAGCCGACTAGTGACAAGGAGCCGCAGCAGAGGGATGAAAGAGCCACACGCGGCTCCAGAGCTGCGGGTTGCCGACCCTTGGGCTAGCTGGTTTATTAATGAACTCGCCACTCAACCCAGAATGCAATTTGAAAGACAGGTAGAACTCTTTTACGTTTTCAATTTCTAACTTATTCCTTCTTTCCCAGTCTTGGTAATGCTCATTTGAAGAATCAGTGACCAGTCCTGGGGTGAAATGTACCATTTTGATTTCTTGCAAGTGGCTTGGAGAGGAGAAGAGGAGGAAGTGGTTGAGGGATATCTCTTTGCCCCTTGAAAATATCAGGAAGCAAAGAAAAAAAAACCCACCAGGTTTTATGGATCACAGTGTAATTTGATGTATTTGGGAACAGGATGTGTGGAAATAGGCAGAGTTACTTCCTCATGGCTGCAGATTAATAGAAATTGGGTGCAAAGTTTCAAAGTGGATAACTCCAGTGAGGTGGGAAGATAAAATCTCAGTTAAAAGAAAAAGAAAAGAAAAGAAAAGAGGAAATAGCATGTTTTCTATGAAAAAAGCAACATTTTTGACCGGAGTTTGGGGCAAATGAGATTCAGAGTTAAGCCATGTGTGATGATCTTGACAGCTGAAGAAAGGAGAAGAACAAAAACTGCAGATTCATCAATGGGTTCAATTTAACTCTAAATGAAACTTGTTTTTTCTTTAAAAAAAAATGCATTGAAGAATGAATTGTTTAACCTCGGGGAGGTCTACAGAGAAAATTCAAAGCTGGTGTGGATCTAAATCTGAGAAGTAAAAAAAATAATAATCTGAAATCCCTTTGTTATATAGCCTTATTTTATCAAAGTCAGTTTGGTTTGGGGACACGGATGGGACTTTTCTATTTTATTTATTTATTTATATTTGTCAAGCATATATAAGAAATATATAAGTATAAACATGATTATGAATACAGGAAATGGGTACGAATAAATGGGGACAGTAGGACAGGGACGGTAGGCACGCTGGTGCACTTATGCACACCCCTTACAGACCTCTTAGGAATGTGGTGAGGTCTACAGTAGACAGTCTAAGGTTAAAGTTTTGGGGGTTTTGGGATGAGACCACAGAGTCAGGTAGTGCATTCCAGGCATTGACCACTCTGTTGCTGAAGTCATATTTTCTGCAATCAAGTTTGGAGCGGTTTACCTTGAGTTTGTATCTATTATTTGCTCGTGTGTTGTTGTGGTTGAAGCTGAAGTAGTCATTGACAAGTAGGACATTGTAGCGGATAATTTTGTGTACTATGCTTAGGGCAGACCGAAGGTGGCGTAGTTCTAAGTTATCTAAGCCCAAAATTTCAAGCCTGGTGGCATTAAGGTATTTTGTTGTGAGCAGAGGAGTGGAGGACTCTTCTCGTGAAATACCTCTGGACCAGAGGTGAAATCCAGCAGGTTCTGACAGGTTCTGGAGAACTGGTAGCGGATATTTTGAGTAGTTTGGAGAACCGGCAAATACCACCTCTGGCCGGCCCCAGAGTGGGGTGGGAATGGCGATTTTGCAGTATCCTTCCCCTGGAGTGGGGTGGGAATGGAGTTTTTGCAGTATCCTTCCCCTGCCACGCCTACCAAGCCACGCCTACCAAGCAACACCATGCCCACCAAGCCATGCCCACAGAACTGGTGGTAAAGAAATTTGGATTTCACTACTGCTCTGGACTCGCTCAATTGTATTAATGTCCGATATACAGTGCGGGTTCCAGGCAGGTGAGCTGTATTCGAGAATTGGTCTAGCAAAGGTTTTGTATGCCCTAGTTTGCAGTACAATATTACCGGAGAAGAAGCTTCGCAAGATTTCTGTTGGGTTTTGTTTCTCGATACAGATGTGAGAGAACCAGCATCTGTTATCTGAAGCTGTCCTTGACTTGAACATTTGTTTTAAGTGCAGAGTGAGGAGGAATGCCTAGGTGAAACATTTCAACCATTCTCAGATCATGACAAAGTCTTCCTTGCAAATTTCCCTCCATGTCTATTATTCCCTGGTTGGACACCCTTCTTCTCCAAGATCATTTCATTCTCAGCCCTCTGACCTTGAAACTAGGGGTGAAATCCAGCAGGTTCTGACAGGTTCTGGAGAACTGGTAGCGGAAATTTTGAGTAGTTCGGAGAAGCGGCAAATACCACCCTCTGGCTGGTCCCAGGAGTGGGGTGGGAATGGAGATTTTGCAATATCCTTCTCCTGGAGTGGGGTGGGAAGGGAGATTTTGCAGTATCCTTCTCCTGCCACGCCCATAGAACCAGTAGGGAAAAATTTTGAATTTCACCCCTGCTTGAAACCATGTCTCTCAGGAGATACAGTGAAGCCTTCCCCACTCCCATCCAGCTGCCCCCTGCCCCCTTCTCTCCCCCATGCATGGAGTTTGTAGCAGACCCTACCTGTACATTGCCTTATCCTACTTGTTTCCCCCAAAGGCTGAACTTGGCTGATGATTTTATCTAGGATAAAAATCTTATTAAACCTGTGTTTTTCAATCTTGGCAACTTCCGTACAGTGGACTTGAACCAGAGGTGGGTTTCACATATTTTTACCACTGGTTCACCGCGCACCGAAAATGTGAGTGTGAGTGTGTGCATGCTTGCTTTGTGTGCATGCCTTCTGTGCATGTGCCTGCCCTTCTGTGCATGCACTTTGCTTTTGCACATGGCTTGCATGCATGTGTGCATGTTCTGTCCCCGTCCCACACGCGCACACACTAACAGACGTCCAAGAGTTAAAGACCAAACCAGCCGACAAAATCCTTTTCCTTATGATAACGGAACTTGGCAGCAACCTAGTGGCTGCCTGCCAAGAGTTTATTACTACAAAGGAAAGCGATAACTTCTCTCCGCTTCTGGTACATCAAAGTAAAATGCTCAATAATTACAGAGTAAATCAAGTCCAAAGATAATCCAGCAAAGTCTATAGCAAAAGTCCGGCAATGCAGAATGGCATGGAAGCTTTCAGCTTTGTTCGTCACAAGGTTTGACTGGCCACCACACTCCCTTTTATACCCTGTGGGGTGTGGTCCAGTGACTCAGCCTAATCTCTGGCATGCCTTTTCTTCTGTTGCGCGCTTATGTCTGTGACGCTGGCGTGGATCCAGCCAAGACTCATTACTCTCATCACTGTCCACCTGTGGCTGCGTGGACGTGCTTGGCCCCGGCCCTATCTCTTGCCCTTCGGTGGACACTGGCATTGCCAAAGGGGAGGGTCCTGGAGAGGGAGGCCTTGCCAACTCCGATGACACAAGCTCAGGTAACGGAGCCACAACAGTGCAGTTGTTGTGACTCTTCAGCGGCCTGCGCGGATTGTTGCTGATCCCAATGACGAGGAGGCTGGTGTGGTGTCGCGCCAGCAGCTTGTGCAGCCGGCGCTCGAGTCGGACAGCGAGGAGGCTGAAGAAGAGGTGGTGCCAGAGGCAGGGATTCAGCCAGGGCCTTCAGGACCTCCAGAGGCTCCTTTAAGTGAAGAGGATGAAGTGGAAGAGCTTCTTCTCAATGCACGAGCACGCAGAGCTGCCAAAAGGCAGGAGTGATTACTCAGGAGGAGGTCTCCTCGAGAGTAAGGCTTGGGGCTAATTGGCCACTCCCTATTTAAGTTTGCACACAGCTTGTAAAAAGCTGCAGGAAACAACGTGTGTTCGTCCGCTTATCATTGTGTTTGAATTTTCTCTGCAAACCTGGCTTCTGGGCTTTCTGCCAACTCTAGTAAGACTCTATCTTATCTGTGGAATTTCTGGCAGGTTGTTAAGAACGTTTTATTAACAGCCTGCATTTGCAAAAGGCTGCGTTTTGAAGTAAACTGTGTGTGCTACATTCTTTGGGATCCGTAGCTGAGGCAGAACAGC